GGGTTCTTTTGTACACTTTTAGTTAATATAGTGTGCCTGATTGTAGGATTTGATCAGCGCTCCCCATTGAAAATATGGCACGAGCCCGCCCCCCCCCCCTCCCCACACACACACACACACCCACACATTCTGGAATTTGTATTCCTGTGGAGACATTTCTTTGTTCTCGTGTAGTAAAGTTTTCGAGTTTGAAATTGAAGTTTCAAAATGCTCTTATTTTAACCAGAATTAATTTCCTGGGCTGAAATTTGGACTAAATATCCCTTTTCTAAAACTCTTCCATTTGCGACAAATCAACCTACCTTGGAAATTCCTAGTTTTTGAGTAAAATCCATATATCTATTTCGTGAAATTCTTGTGGAGACGTATTCATCTATAGAAATGTTCTTCTGGAGACGTATACAATCTTTTGTTCCCTATTGTGTTCATGTCTCCGTAAGGTAATACATTCCAGCACACACACACACACACACTTATTGATTTTCGGAGGCCTAAGTGTCCGGAGAAAAGGTCTACATTTCAGCACGCCTATACCTGAAAATAGTCTGGATCCACCCTGCTAGCCCCCCCCCCCAAAAAAAAAAATATTGGCTCTAGAACCCCGCTATAATTAGCCGATAATTCCAAAACTCTTTCACCTATAGTCATGACATTCTTTGATGTGTTTCTATTAAGTTGTTATATGCATGCACTAAGTTTTATAATTTTTCGTAGATAAATGGCCAAGATCTCGGGGGGGGGGCGGAATCAACCCCCCCCCCGTCCCCAGCTGTGAGATGGTCAAACTAATATTAAACCCCGGCTCCTTAGGGTTAATGCATTGATTTCAGGAATTGTTTTGAGTGCTTAATTGTAGCGTTGTGTCTAAGCATCATTACGAACTGTTACAGCATACTTATTACAAGTAGTAAAATTGTGATTCTGTTTTAAACGTTGGTATTTACATCTAATAATGTAGAGATTTAAGAAATGTCGTTGCAAAAAAAAATGTGTGTTGTCATGTGTTTGTTTGAATAAGACAAATATTACATCGACTGTCCAACACACCATGCTGAGAAATATTTGGCACTTATATATATGCTGTCCATTTTAAAAAAAAATTTACATAAAAATGAAGCAAAATCTTACAAGACAGACGGCATTTAAAAAAGGTCAAATTGTAATTAAATAAACAAATCAATATTAACATAAGAGTGTAAACTTTATTTAAATAAGTACAATCATTTCGATTGCGCGTTAACAGATGCGCTGATCTGCACGGATCGGTGCGGATCAGTGCGGATTGTTGCGGATTGCTTACGTTCACTTAGGTTTCTACGTTTTGTTGTATGATCATGTCCTCTGGATCCATAATCCCAATGTCAGCATTTGTCCTCGGAAGCATGTCCGCATACACGTACTGGAACTTCACCACATGGCCCAGAACATTCTCAAATTTCATAATCTTTTTTCCTGCCATGTTAATAAGAATTTCACATATGTTAATTAAATTATTTTTATTTGAGCTAATTGACTTTATATGAGCTAATTGGGTAGTTGCTAATTGAGTGTATAATTCTTCTAAAATAATTAGTTATGATCTAATACAATGCTGGTTAATAAATAACAAAGTATCACCGGGAAAATACCTTTTTTGCTAACATTTGTCAGCTATAATACAGTAACAGTTTATAATTGACTCTAAAAAAAAATGTTCCTTATTTAATTTCTGGTACATTTTGATTGAATCACTCTGTTTAAAAGCTTTAATAACCTACAACACGAAGTAATCATTATTGTTAACGTATCGAATATAACTACTCAGAACAAGTAACTAATCAATGAAAACTTTACCTTTTGGTGAAATGTGGAATTTAAACTACATGCAGCTTTTAAAACATAATGGGATGGTCTTTATTTATGATTCAAACACTTTTTTAGAACACTCTCTGTATGAAACAAGTTAATCGATTTCACAGGAAAGAAAAAGTACTTACGTTTAATATCCTATTGATTAAAATAATAATCACACTGATATTAAAATCTTATATTTATCTGGGTTATAGAGTCAGGCTCTGTAGACGGTTTCCATGACGATTCAAGGCATTTTTAGAAAGATAAATATATGAACATATACCATGTCAAACTTAACCAAGATTGGAAAAGGTATACGCATGTATCTGGAGCAATCCATCGATTCTATCAGGACCGGGAAGGGGGAGCTGCAAAGTGCCCAAATCATACCCACCGCCTTGATTTAATAAAAACTTGTTCAGTATACTTACGGAACTTTTGGCCGGATCGTGACCTTATGTATCTTTTATTGGCGGGCAAACTAATGACAAAACCGGTCTGATGAATTGCCCATAGCTGCCATGGTAGTGGAGTGTGATGGCCTAGCGGTTAAGAACACCGGACTCACGTTCTGGTGTTTCAGAGGCAACATTGACGTGGGTTCGAGCCCGCCGGCGGACACTTGTGCTCTTAAGCAAGGCACGTAACCATTATTGCTTCGTCCTTCGGATGGGACGTTAAGCAGTAGGTCCCGCGTATTGTATAAATGCACGTAAAAGAACCCAGTAAACACTTATCGCTAAGAGAAGGGGTTTGCCCCGGTGTTTCTGGCCTCCTGTATAAACTCCCACGTGGAGTATTTAGGAGAAGAACCAACCAAGAACCAAGAACTCAAGAATGATTTTACAAGTATATAGTAATGCATGCTTTTCGAATGATGGCGTGTATTTATGAGTGAAGACTAAGTCTCCTGTCTTAACTCAATATTTTTCTCTACTTTGTTTCGTTATTTTTTTTCCGAAGAGAATGAAGATCTCTGAGGCAGCCGTTCTTTTAATCGCCCTCCTTCTGGGTTTCCGTTACTGGGTCGGTTTTAACGGACGGTTGTGGTCAGGTCTCAGGTGTGTCAGGTGTGCTACCAGGGATCAGCTGCTGTGTAGGAATGCCAATTTTACAAGGCTTGGAGGGCGATGCAGGTTCGCCAAGTCAAACGGGTGAGATTAGACCGATTGATCCTATGGGTGAGATGGGAGAACGAGGTTTAGTTGGAGCAACCGAGGAAAGTGGTGTCAAAGATCAAAAAGGTGAGCCATTGTTAGACTCCAGACGACTTTAACCAGAGGTTAGCATTCACCACGGTAATGACGAGTGGCTTGGATACCTCTTCGAGTAACGGCACCAGTTTGCCCTTCCAGGAGACTGAGAAACTTCTGCCGGGTACCAGCTTTGATCTAGAGACTGGTACGTTTACCGGTAATGTGCCAGGCACCTACGTATTTATGTTTTCAGTGCTCGAACATACTACCTACACCAAGCTATACATCCATTGAAAGAAAAACAACGACGTGGTCGTGAGTGGCTATAGCCTTCATCCCAGTACTCAAGATCAGGCGTCTGGGAGCGCCGTGCTGGTTCTACAGCGAAGAGACTTGGTGTATCTAACCGTGCTGAGTACAACGGCTAATAGTTCCTATCACTACACATCATTTAGTGGCTTCCTCCTTTACCCCGAATAAACAAACGTTAGCAACGCAAAACATATACACGATTTTTACACACGATGCCGAATATGCCAAAGCTCCTCCGTTTACCAGGAACAAACAGCAATATAAGTGTATAAATAATTTACTCAAATAGTTTGCATACGCGGATCGGTTTTTCGGCAAGTGGTTGTTAGTTCTTAATTTGAGCGCATTGTATGTGTCATATAAAAAAAACTTGCAGCATACTGATAAAGTATATTAAAACGATGATATATATACATATTCAGAAATACAAGAACTGTCATTTAAACAGATTTTGTGTTGACATTTTTCCGTTTGAATTGAACAAAAATAAAGTGCTTATTGAGATATATTTGGAAGTACTTTTCTTTTTTGGTTCTTAGCATAAAATGGATTCAAAACTTGATAAGTCAATTTGACAACTTCAGAAAGGCTAGATTTTAGTCAAATGTATCAACCAAATAATGCAGGGTGCGAATGTTAACTGCACGATTATATTCATTTTGGTTGCAAGTTAAGATGCTCTGAGAGTGCACGGATCGATGCAGATCGCAGACGTTCAGTTAGGTAAGGCCCACATACAACCGCTTAAAATTGGTTCCCCAAATATTTATCTTTCAAACTTAAATTAAGTGAAAATGTGCGTTTCCGGATAAGGAGTTTCAGGTGTTTTCTCTGTAAGGCGGACGCACGTCCTCGAAATCATTTACTTATCCTTAAGGGGTGTGTATTTTATTTAACAACGAAAAAAAAAAGCATTTGAATTGCACAAAATGAACTTTTATCTTATCGAATTTAACAATTTACTCTATTTTAACTTTTAATTTCAACTATTTGACATGCAGCAAATTGACTTTGAGTTTTTAATTTTTATCGAATCACTGTTTATGAAATTTTAATGCAATGTCGCTTGACACCTGACCGAAATAGTATTTTTATAACGTTTGCATTTTTTAAAAGAAGGCATGCAACAACTTATAATAACAAATGGTTGACGATGGGTGCGAGAGTGAGACTGGATACGTTGAGAGTTGTACCGGAGTCCATTAATTCAGCAAACGGAACCTTCAGTCCTCATACCTGTCAGGGCAGGGGCGTCGCTTCAATGAGAAGAAGGGTGTAGCCACTCCCCATTTGTCGTGCTTGTCCCAAAAATGATCTTACTTGTCAGCAAAACGGCAAAGACATGAACTGCACTTCTATTCAGGTTAGAGGGTATCCAGTCCCGTTTTTCTTCAACAGCGCCCCCTTTCGTCGGCAATACAGGTTACTTCAACAGCTCCACCAATGATGTAGGATGGTGTCCATTTTGTATCTAAATTGAACAGTGCTCACAATCTTTGACGGCTTCCACTGTTCCCATGCCGCTCCTCCCCCCCCCCCCCTCCTCCGCTCAATCCCCCTCGGCATTTTTGTTTAAATCTCTGATGAACGACATAAAATACAAATTCACATCTTGCACAACGAAAAAAAGAAGGGTATGCTGAAATTTAAGCCCCTATAATGGCACTGCGCCATCCCCCGTCCACTATGCGTGCTGTTGAGCCGATAGAGGGCAGTATGTATGTCAGAGGTTTTACCCACCAGATGCGACAGTTTGGTGTTCAGAGGGTGAAATAAACATGAAAAGCTTACAACATGACAGAGTTGAGGGGCGACGTTGAAGGAAATGCTGATTAATCGAACTGGTGGAGTTGACGGACAACCAATAATTCGTATGGAGTATATTTGCTTGTTTGCCCAGGCAAATAATTGGAAATGCCGTAGGTAAGCGCTACAGTTTAGTATACGTACTAATGATAAGTGCTAAGTACTGCATGTATTCAGATTGAAGGGATGCATATGCGTCCGAATGGGAATAGGGACTGGGGCAAATAATTTATGAGTTGTCTGCCGTCTACACGTGGGCAAGAGCAATCGTTTCCTTTTTTTTTGGAGGGGGGTATTTGCAGGGGGGGGGGCATATATCGCTGGTATGTTTATTAAGTAAAACAACGCCGGAGTCGGACCCCGCCTCTGGTCATTTTACCACGCCAAGAAACACTCAAGATCAAATTTGTTCTACTTATTTTTGCAAAGTACAATTTAGAAAATATCACTTGGAGAGGGGTAACAACTTAATGTCAGTTACAACCTTTCACATCCGGAATAGTTGTTCTCAGGTCTCTTGTTTGTGTTCGTTTGTTTTTATATATTTTTGTTTATTACGAGAATGTAAAATGTTGCAAAGATTTACTTCCTTGTAGCCGATGGTACAGTCCTCTAAACAGTACATTTTAGATATATTTTTTTCATAAATACTTTTGAGTCCTTAACGTTTATTCACACAAGTTTAAAACTCCAAAAGACACCTTGGTCTTTTTTTTTTAGTTTTTACCTAATAACCACAACAAATTTCATAAATTCTCATATATCTTCACAGATACAGGAGTACGCATCCATCAGTTGGACTAGTCTGCATGTGTTTTAGGTTTTAGGGAGGCCTCGAGAGGTCAATATTGTTTTGTCACGATATTGCTCTTTCATTTTAGGCGATTTATAAGTTTCCATGTGTTCACTAAACCAAAAGTAATTTCAAATTCAGGAATCATGACACTTTAATTTTGCTATTCAAGATTCCAAAAGCGCGCCACCAGGGGTAAACTTTCAGACACTATTCCCGGAAGTAGAACAAATCACAGAAAGCTGTTTTATCCAGGGATATAGTCAAGTCCATCACAAGTCCAGTCATAAGTAAATCACAAGTCAATTCACATATACAGTCACTAGAAAAAAAACTAATGAACAGTTTGATGTGTGTTGGGGGGGGGGGGCCTGGACATCATTTTCCCACGGAGGCGCTGTTCAAAAGCGAAATCATAGTCAATGTCAGACAATAGGTGGCGCTTTTTGCTTTCCACTGGAAGTTAAAATAAACAGTCTATCGTATAAGTATAGATGAGACTGTGTTTTTCTACCCGTTGTCAAATATCCTTTGGAGCGAATTGGGGGGGGGGGGACACGACTTTTTCCCGCCCCTTCCCCATAGCTTTTGCCGCTGAGTTCTTTTGCTCTTGTTAGGTGGTGACATTGAGATCGAACCCTGGCCCGGCCAGGTACCCATGTAAAATGTGTCAGGAACCCATGTTAAATGTGTCAGGAACTGTAGCCAAAAGTGACCGACCAGGATGCCATTAGTTGGACCACATAAAATAAGGAAACAAAACACCAGAAATATATGTGGAACTGAAAAAAAAGAAGCCCTAGCAAGAGAAATGCTGGGTTTTGCAGCGTGTGCAAGAACCAATATCGTCACTTGTTATGACTGTGGATTCGGTTCCTACTGATAAATCCCTACTGTTGTCAGACTCGGCTGAAGATGTGTTGGGCTCTGATGAAGAGCTGGTCTTTCATCAGAAAGTTATTCTTTCAGTTGCATTGGCAGCCAATTTCACGATGCGCTGCTACACGTTGCAACACGAATTGCGACGCGTGCCCTAAAAAAAAAACGATCTGGAAAGGTATCATTGCTTATAATACCAGCTTAAATTAGGAGAACAAAATCATCATGAGTTGAACATGAAATGGCACCATGCCCCCGTTCTAAATACGCAACTGTAAGGCCCATCCCCTCGGTCCAAAACTTGCGTTTAAGCCCTTGTTTAATAAGGCCACGTAAAACATATGGCGGGGTTCTTGTGCAGCTTTTATTACAACGAAATCGGCGAGGGAGGTCCTTAATTATTTTCAATATCTGTAATATTTTGCTTGCCACGTCGAAGATTCAGTCAGCCGCTGTGGCATATTTCAAGATGGTTTATGGAGCCATTTACATGTATATTGTGGAATGTAGAACAACCAATTGATTGATATCATTATGACCCACGTATCAAGGCAGTTGCTAATTACACAAACAGTACTTTCCAGCCACATTTATGGAACTGTTGAATCAGCATTTAAGCGTATGAAAATCGTTATGATAATGACTGGCTGGAAAATATCTTACTGACGGCTTGTCACTCACCTTATCCCATCAATTAGTGAACTATGTGGTCCATTGCAGTAAGATAAATCCTGGGGAAAATACATCTGCTTCCGATTACAAAATGGGGTAGGTAGGTCAGGCATTTGATTGTTTGCTTTTTTTATGCTGAAAAGATGTAGTCATATTGTAGGCCTAGGCCTAACAAGGTTACATGTACATGTATTTTACTCCTAGAACTCGAAAGCACCCGAGTGCACACGGCCCGGGTGCCTTCTAGTTCTAGACGTGCATGGTTTGTTTGTTTTTTACACCAAATGTATATTTTCCGACGGAACTGTTTCCATTTATATCCCAAAAAATGTCGCGCGGTTTTAGCATGCGTGGACTTTTATCTGTACCTGGAACCAGGGGCAGAAAATTGGAAGAACATGATACGCAGAATTTCTACAGGTACGAGTGTTAAGACCTCAAAATACAATTGGTGGAAAAAAACGCCAAGAAAAGGAAAATATATTTAAAGAAAGGAGAAAACAAGTAACATGTGGCTGAACTCCCAGAAATCTTTACGCTATCAAATTCCAGCATTTACACTATGTAGGTCATGTCCAGTGCTGTAGACTACCCCTGGTACTTCCCTCATCACTTTGACTATTACGTTTGCACGCGGCAGAAATTAGTCTATCGTATTACTGCATGCATGAATCATCACACCGCGAAGAGGGTTGCAATGCTAGAATAAAAACACTGGAATTGCCAAATATATTGAAAGTAACTTGTATTAAAAGTGAGCAAACAAAAAATGCGGAAAATATAAGTGTTTAATAGAGTGTTTTAAAATCACAATTGGTGTTGAGAAGCAAAAGAGACAACATGAATTCCTTTTTACTTGCTGATAAAAAGGTCAATAAGAGTCAGGTTGTAAAAATAGGGTAGGTCGGGTAACCGAAAGCGGAAGAACGAAATCAGCTTACAAAAAGGAAGAAGTCAATAAAAATAGGTATTAAAGATTTGGTTTTTACATTTTTGTCGCAATATAATAAATAACATGAAAATTTGATGCGGCGTCAAAAAAACTGAAACAGGAAGGGACGACATTTTTTTTTTCTAATTGGCCTAATAGGAAACCCGGACAACTGAAACTTACGGTCTTATTTCTTTCATTTACAGTTTGAAAATCCCAAACCATTTAGCCCTTTGCTTTTTTTCCGCATTAATAGTTAAGTTGCACAGGTATCTAAGGTGTAATACTTTCAGCGACCGGTTTTGATACATACAGTTTCAGTTCATTTTGCATACTTCAGCTCGATTCATTTTGTTTTTGTGGGTGTTTTCTCTCAAATTCAGACTTAGCATGGTCTGACTACCAAATACTAATCCGACATGAGTAGGATGTTTAATTCGATACCAAACAGCGCGAAATGAACATCCGAATCAATCAAGGCCGGTGTACATATTATTTCTATGCGCCCATCGGAGTTATTCTCCCTAACAAGTTCAGTGATCACAAGTGAGAAGTCTGTGATTGACGGGCTGTGTGTGTCAATCACAGACCACGTATCATTGACATCTACAATATCCATCAATCAGACGGTAGCATTTCACAATATCGTTGATACAAGTCATGTGGTTCATAAAGCCTCATGCGTGCCAGTGTCACAACTTAACTTTCGGCCTACCAATTTGAAGATAGTTTGTTATGTGTGATTGACAAGAGCGCATGAAACAATCACCAACCGGACCAAATTACTCGGGTCACTGCTCAGGAAATTAATGGAAAGTTTATAAAATGGGAAAGGTAGGTACGTCATATTTGTTTACCCATTTGTTACAGGTACATGCATTACAGGTACATGCATTTTTCTTCAAAAACTCGCAGGCACCGATCGAGTGCAGACGGCTCGTGTGCATTCTAGTTCTAAAAGTGCATGTATTTCACTCCAGTTGCGCGTATTCAGCCGAATCATTTTCATTTACACCACGAAAGCGCTAAATACTACCGTCTTAAGTAAACTGTCCAACACGTACCGCATAATATCAGCGTGTGGACTACCATTTGTTCCGGTAATTAGGGGGTGGACAAATCGGTAAACATGCTACGCAGTGTTAAGTGCGTTGAGTACGAGCGTTAAGACCTCAAAATATAATAGTACAAAAAAGCGCAAAAGTATGACATTGTACACTGTTAAAATTCACCGTTTACACTACGTCCAGTGATATACCACTCCCGGTGCTTCCCTCATCACTTTGGCTATTATCTTTATAGCGCGGCGGGAATCAGTCTACCATCACTGTTCGCATGACACATGTACATTCACAACTGCGATGAGAGCTCTGGTCGCTCTAGGGAAAAAAATATAGCAAATGTAAGTAAGCAAACCACAAAACGTCAGCAGAGGTGTAAACAGACTTTAGGCAATGCCGTGTTCCCAAAGAAAAAAAAAAGGGGTTCACTTACGGGCAGAAGCAAAGGCGGATCCAGAACACAATCTTTTTGGGGGGAGCAACAAAATTTGGGTCCCCCCCCCAAAAAAAAAGTGGGTCCAAAAATTAACAGCGTCGGGTTTCGGGGCCCGTTTTAGGGGCCTGGATTTTTTTGGATTCTAGATGCTCTGTGGTGCGATCTGAGGTAATTTCTGACCACTTTAAA